TTTATTAATTACTTTTTCTACTATAATCATAAATTGTGATTAAAATTGACATGCTCCACTATAAATCAGCAAGTTTCTTAGTGCATTACAATTTCTATTTTATTTTTAGGCCATATACTAACATGATTACAACATGTACACCCACACCATAGTCCAATAATTAAATACATGTATTAATAACTACATTTTTAGGTCACCTGAGGCACTCAGGTGACCTATTGCTATCTGTTTTTGTCCGTCGTCGTGCGTCGTCCGTCGTGCGTTAACTTTTGAACATTTTTAACTTCTTCTCTAGAACCGCTCAACCAATTTCAACCAAATTTGGTATATAGCATCTATGGGTGAAGGGGAACAAAAATTGTGAATTTCATGGTTCCTGCCCCCCCGGGGCCTGAGGGGTGGGGCTAAAACCACCAAAAATAATGCAATCTTTAAAAATCTTCTTCTTTACTCCCGGACATGAAGCAGTCAAACTGTTGGCATCATTGTAATAAGCATTGAGCCCTCTACCAAAATTGTGAAATTCATGGCCCCAGGGTCAGGGGTTCTGGCCCCAGGGTGGGGCTATATAGATCATATAGTGAAAGTGCATAAATTCTTTGAAAATCTTCTTCTCTGCTCCTGGGTATTAAATAAAGTTACTAAGTACATAGTTATGATGAGCAAGAGTGCCTCTTCCAAAATTGTGAAATTCATGGTCCCAGGGTCAGGGGTTCTTGTGTTAGGGCGGGGCTGTATTGATTATATAGTGAAAATGCATTAATTCTTTGAAAATCTTCTTCTCTGCTCCTGGGTATTAAATAAAGGAACTAAGTACACAGTTATGATGAGCAAGAGTGCCTCTTCCAAAATTGTGAAATTCATGGCCCCAGGGTCAGGGGTTCTGGCCCCAGGGTGGGGCTATATAGATCATATAGTGAAAGTGCATAAATTCTTTGAAAATCTTCTTCTCTGCTCCTGGGTATTAAATAAAGTTACTAAGTACATAGTTATGATGAGCAAGAGTGCCTCTTCCAAAATTGTGAAATTCATGGCCCCAGGGTCAGGGGTTCTGGTGTTAGGGCGGGGCTGTATTAATTATATAGTGAAAATGCAATAATTCTTTGAAAATCTTCTTCTCTGCTCCTGGGTATTAAATAAAGGAACTAAGTACATAGTTATGATGAGCAAGAGTGCCTCTTCCAAAATTGTGAAATTCATGGCCCCAGGGTCAGGGGTTCTGGTGTTAGGGCGGGGCTCTATAAATTATATAGTGAAAAAGCATTAATTCTTTGAAAATCTTCTTCTTTGCTCCTGGGTATTTAATAAAGTAACTAAGTACGTAGTTATGATGAGGAGGTGGGCCTCTTCCAGAATTGTGAAAGCCATGGCCCCTGGGTCAGGGGTTCTGGTGTTAGGGCGGGGCTCTATTGATTATATAGTGAAAATGCTTTAATTTTTTGAAAATCTTCTTCTCTGCTCCTGGGTATTATTTAAACAAACTAAGTGCAAGGTTATGATGCATAAGGGTGCCTTTTCAAAAATTGTGAATTTCATGGCCCCAGGGTCAGGGGTTCTGGTGTTAGGGTGGGGCTGTATTGATTATATAGTGAAAATGCATTGATTCTTTGAAAATCTTCTTCTCTGCTACTGGAGACTATTTAAATGCATAGGGATGCCTTTTCAAAAATTGTGAATTTCATGGCCCCAGGGTCAGGGGTTCTGGTGTTAGGGCGGGGCTCTATTGATTATATAGTGAAAATGCATTGATTCTTTGAAAAACTTCTTCTCTGCTACTGGAGATTATTTAAACAAACTAAGTGCATGATTATGATAGACAAGGATGCCTCTTCCAAAATTTTTAAATATATGGCCTCAGTTTTGGGGGTTCTTGAGGAGGGGAGCGGGGGGGGGAGGGGCTAGGGCAACAATGCTTCATCTATCAGTGTATTTAACTTCTAAATTGTTGTATTATACTCAGGTGACCGTTAAGGCCCTTGGGCCTCTTGTTTAATAAATGTTTATACTTAAATTAGAACAAGTTCAAAATTCTATTGTAATTGAAAAGCATGTAAGAATTCTTTTCAGGATTTTCCTGATTATTTCCATTTGTCATTGATTATGCAGTTTTTCATCTCTCTATCACTGATTTGTCGCATATGTCCTCACAGCAGTATGGCGCCAAAATCCAATTGAAATATGCATATCGCCGTATTTGAATTTCAAATCTAAATTTTGCTTAAAATATACTTACAACAATTTTTATTGTCTTAAGTATTTTAATAAACAAGTTTGTAGATAAGATTTTTAGGTCACCTGAGTCACTCAGGTGACCTATTGCTATCTGTTTTTGTCTGTCGTCGTGCGTCGTCCGTCCTGCGTTAACTTTTTAACATTTTTTACTTCTTCTCTAGAACCGCTCAACCAATTTCAACCAAATTTGGTATATAGCATCTATGGGTGAAGGGGAACAAAAATTGTGAATTTCATGGTCCCTGCCCCCCGGGGCCTGAGGGGTGGGGCTAAAACCACCAAAAATAATGCAATCTTTAAAAATCTTCTTCTTTACTCCCGGACATGAAGCAGTCAAACTGTTGGCATCATTGTAATAAGCATTGAGCCCTCTACCAAAATTGTGAAATTCATGGCCCCAGGGTCAGGGGTTCTGGCCCCAGGGTGGGGCTATATAGATCATATAGTGAAAGTGCATAAATTCTTTGAAAATCCTCTTCTCTGCTCCTGGGTATTAAATAAAGTTACTAAGTACATAGTTATGATGAGCAAGACTGTCTCTTCCAAAATTGTGAAATTCATGGCCCCAGGGTCAGGGGTTCTGGTGTTAGGGCGGGGCTGTATTGATTATATAGTGAAAATGCATTAATTCTTTGAAAATCTTCTTCTCTGCTCCTGGGTATTAAATAAAGGAACTAAGTACATAGTTATGATGAGCAAGAGTGCCTCTTCCAAAATTGTGAAATTCATGGCCCCAGGGTCAGGGGTTCTGGCCCCAGGGTGGGGCTATATAGATCATATAGTGAAAGTGCATAAATTCTTTGAAAATCTTCTTCTCTGCTTCTGGGTATTAAATAAAGTAACTAAGTATATAGTTATGATGAGCAAGAGTGCCTCTTCCAAAATTGTGAAATTCATGGCCCCAGGGTCAGGGGTTCTGGCCCCAGGGTGGGGCTATATAGATCATATAGTGAAAGTGCATTAATTCTTTGAAAATCTTCTTCTCTGCTCCTGGGTATTAAATAAAGTTACCAAGTACATAGTTATGATGAGCAAAAGTGCCTCTTCCAAAATTGTGAAATTCATGGCCCCAGGGTCAGGGGTTCTGGTGTTAGGGCGGGGCTGTATTGATTATATAGTGAAAATGCATTAATTCTTTGAAAATCTTTTTCTCTGCTCCTGGGTATTAAATAAAGGAACTAAGTACATAGTTATGATGAGCAAGAGTGCCTCTTCCAAAATTGTGAAATTCATGGCCCCAGGGTCAGGGGTTCTGGTGTTAGGGCGGGGCTCTATAAATTATATAGTGAAAGTGCATTAATTCTTTGAAAATCTTCTTCTTTGCTCCTGGGTATTTAATAAAGTAACTAAGTACGTAGTTATGATGAGGAGGTGGGCCTCTTCCAGAATTGTGAAAGCCATGGCCCTGGGTCAGGGGTTCTGGTGTTAGGGCGGGACTCTATTGATTATATAGTGAAAATCTTCTTCTCTGCTCCTGGGTATTATTTAAACAAACTTAGTGCATGGTTATGATGCATAAGGATGCCTTTTCAAAAATTGTGAATTTCATGGCCCCAGGGTCAGGGGTTCTGGTGTTAGGGTGGGGCTGTATTGATTATATAGTGAAAATGCATTGATTCTTTGAAAATCTTCTTCTCTGCAACTGGAGACTATTTAAACACATAGGGATGCCTTTTCAAAAATTGTGAATTTCATGGCCCCAGGGTCAGGGGTTCTGGTGTTAGGGGGGGGCTCTGCTGATTATATAGTGAAAATGCATTGATTCTTTGAAAAACTTCTTCTCTGCTACTGGAGATTATTTAAACAAACTAAGTGCATGATTATGATAGACAAGGATGCCTCTTCCAAAATTTTTAAATATATGGCCTCAGTTTTTGGGGTTCTTGAGGAGGGGGGGGGGGGGGGGGCTAGGGCAACAATGCTTCATCTATCAGTGTATTTAACTTCTAAATTGTTGTATTATACTCAGGTGACCGTTAAGGCCCTTGGGCCTCTTGTTTTTTTTAAATTGCAATTTTTTAAATCCTTTAAGGCCTATTCCAATATGTATTGGCCAGGCAGTTCAGAAATTTATTAATGCTGTTTTAACTACTGCTAAACATTACCTTTCCCCTATGGTAAAAAAATTATCAAAATTCCCATTTCAGTAACTGTTATGAAAAATATCCTGATTAACATTTAAATTAGGGTTGGTCTGGTAACTGAAAACACATTTTTTAGCCTAGTAATGCCAGAATTAGATAGATGCTAAAAAGTGTGCTTGGTACATACAGTATTGTGTTGTGTTTTTGTTTTTGTCTTTTTGATTTATGTCTTTTGTTGTTTTTTTTAAATATAAAGCTCTATTTATGCATCCAGGGAAGATTTCTGACCAATCCTGCTTTGTATGCTGCATTTGATCTATATTTTCTGGATGAGTGAACAGGCATTAAGTAGAGTAGCATTTCCATTCCCAATTAATTTATAAGCTATAATAAATATACCTGAACCAATCTTGGATAGATAATGTTACACTTTTATCTAGAGATCTTTGTACTTTATTCTTCCTTCAGATCCTATTTCTTGTGGATGTGTCGAACCTTTGTAATTACTTATGTTTGTATTCATTTTTATTTATAGTACTATAAAGTACCCAGTAGTAATTGCTAACTTTAGTACCAGAATTAATGTTTCTCTTTTTTCAGTATAAATGAGTATAAGAGCTAATTTGATTAATTTATCTTTCATTACTAGAACTGTTTGATATGAATTATTTGTTCATTGCACAGAAAGAAGGGGATAGTCCTAGTATTAAGGTGGAGAAAGCTACAGAGAATGGACCTATAACAAGGGAATTCCTGGTGGATGATGACGAGGAAAAGTCCCAGTTTGATTTCATTGAAAAGTTTTTCAAAGCAGCACAAACACAAAAACTCAAGGTATTTTACAATTTCAAGTAAGCTCTAAAAGTTTTGAATGTAAATTTTTCAGTAGTGGTATTTGTCTTTCTATTTAGTGTTTAGAAAAATTGTGCAATATGATTTCAGAAAATATGCTGTTTGTGGTGCAGAAAGACATTGCATTGTAATATCTGATGGATATTAACATTATTTGTAGGATAAGTCTCCAAAACCTCTAAAAACAGAGAAAGCCCAGCCCACTTCCTGTAAACCTGTGCCTGTGGACTGGTCATTGAAGGTCAAGTTAAGGGTTGTTTCAAAGTCGTCATTACTCTGGTGCACACAAATCAAAACTGCAGAGGAGGCTAAGGGAGTGACGGACTTTGTCTCGGGGTGCAGTCAGGTAATAGTTAGGGTAGTTACATTGATAAAGACAGAGCAGTCAGGTACTAGTTAGGGTAGTTACACTGTATAAAAAGAGAACAGTTGAAGTCAGGCATGTATAGAAAGCAAGCTGGATGAATTTATTCTACTCCCCCTCCCCCAACCCCCTGTATCGTATGAATTGAAAGTTAAGGCTCATTGAACTTCTGATTAGAGAGATAACTTTCACTGACATGTATGACTATTATTCCTCTATAAAATTGTTAAATTATAAGGCCATTCCTGTCAAATTTTGTCCCACAAGGTATGGCTGAAGTTGTGTAAGTTCTGTATAAATTAGTTTTCTTCATTCATCATTAGTGTTAAAGTAAAATTTTATATGTAAGTGAACAAAAGGATGACAGACCTCAACACATACCAGGTACATTTAAACATAAACAATCTTTGCAGACATCAACATGTAGTACTTGACATTTTCCTATTTCTTCTTTTTGTATTTTTCCATTATGCTTAGAGCTAAGTTTCTCAGTGTCAGAGAAAATATAGCTTGAAGCCACATACATACATGTACATGTATATATATGTGCAAATGTATGGTCCATACAATTTAAAAATATGGTAGATCCAACAAATAATGTTTTACAGCCATAAATTGCTTCAGTATTATACTTGAAAATGGTATTTAATTCTGAATGAATTGTTTTAATGCATTAACCGATTTATTGCTGTATTGTCATGATCTTAAATTTAATGAATCCGTGAAATTTGGTCTCACTGTAAATCTCATTATGTATTGCTTGACATCACAGGTTGATGCAGTGGAAGACAAGTCAGACTTTTATAGCTGTTGTTTGTATTGGATTTATCCCAATCTGCCATGGCTACGATTATTTCCTAGAATAGTTCCAGACAGCAAAATAAGGTATATTTGACATACCTCATCATCATCATGGCTCTTTTTATACCCCCTGCAAACGAAGTTTAGGGAGAGTATATTGGAATCAGCTTGTCCGTCTGTCTGTAGACGAGATTTTGTCCGGACCATTTCTAGAAACTGTTGCAAGGATTTGTCTGAAAATTTGTACACTTATTATTCGCCATATGAAGGTGTGCACCTGATATTTTCATCATGATTGGATAGTTTTTTTTTTGCATTTTACAGGTGTTTTTTCATTTTTATTATGTGGTTTTGTCCGGATCTGTTCCCAGAGACTATTGTATAGATTTGTATGAAAATTTGTACTCTGATTATTTACCATATGAAGATGTGCACCTGGTATTTTCAACATTATTTGATAATTTTTCTGCATTTTACAGTGGGTTTTTTTTTTTCATTTTTATTGACTTAGTCATTTCGGGTTCATGTCTAAGGTTTGAGACATAGAATCTAGAACATATGTACCAAAATGTGAACTACAACTTAAGGACATACACAACATAGTTTGAACTTTATTGTCTTTTCCAATGGAGTTGAAGAGTTCCAATACTTAAAGGAACTGTGATTGCTACATTTTAATGTCTATATATGCTGTTGTACACTTCTTCTAAAACAAGTTTGGATAAACAAAACATGTAGAATATATGTTTAGTAATTTTAATATATTTTTTATGAATTATACAAGAATTTTCATCAATTGATATCTTTTCAAAACCCCTGGTAATGCATGCTGGTTTTTTGTCTACGAACATCTGATGACACTATAATCTTAAATTAAGAATATCTAGAAAAATTATCAGTAGGTAAGGTACGTTGCGTATGTCCTTAAAACAACTCATTAGAACCAAAAAAAAAAATCACAACGTATTAAAAACAGTTTTTACATTACACGTAAATCCATTTGTCCCTTGGGAGTAATGAGTGGACATGTATCCAGTTAAAGATTAATTAATGAGTTCAGTGTGGGAAGCTGTTAGGGCATCTCTGATCAAGCAGGTCTTTTCTATATCTCCTGGGAATTGGACAGAAAGAAATAAAGATCTCTTGTCTAAGTCTCTTAATTGTAATTTATGTCTGTCAAAATACATAGTTACTGGAACCAGCCTTTTATATTTCAAGATGAGTTTGATATAAAGATATTAAGATCAATTTGATTTTGTATAATTCATTATGATAATTTTTTTTTCAGCAATCAATTTGCAGAGTGCCATGTCTCACAAAGATGACAGATAGTTGCAAACTATTTTTTCAATGTAATAAAAAACACTGTAATTATTAGTATTGATGTTTTATTAGGCTGCACCTTAGTTTCATTCATTAAAAAATATAATGAGTAATTAAATTTTCACTCTAAATGATTAAGCAAATTGTGAATACCTCTCACATCTAGAAAACATTAGTGATTTGTTACCTTCTCTGAAAAACCTAGCAGGGGGTATTTGTCCCTTTTGGACAGTTCTAGTTGGTTATGGGTGGAGCATAGCACCTCAATTTTTGACATACAGTATTACTGATGTGAAAAGTCATTTATGTCTTGAAGACAAGTACATTTACTTTATCTTGAAAATGATGAATGAGTAAGACGTCCAGAATTTATTAACTATTAACTACTGAAAGTTAATTTTTTTTTTCTGTTAAAAGTCTTAAATTAGTACCATATAACATTAATACCATATAGCGAGTTTCTTTAGTGAGTGTAAAATTTGGCCTTTTGCTTGCTCAAAGGTATGCCAATAATTTTGGCAGAACTTTTTTTGGCGGACACAGAGTACTATGAAGTTGAAAAAGAGAGGAAATTCATCTTCTACATGAGTTTTCTCTATGTTTAATATACGGTTGAATACAGATTTAGACAAAATTTTGAGTAAAAACCAATACCAGATAAAAGGTAAATTGTTTAACAACAGACTGATCAAAGTTATCTTTCTTCTCTTCAGTACTTTAACACAAGGGTGCAAATTTAGCAATTAAAATTTGAGCAGCGTATTTCAAAAGCACTAAAATAAGCCAAAGTTAGCACCCCACTAAAACTTCCTGCTATACAGTAGTACAATCATGCATTGTTCCACGCTTCATCCCCTATTGATAAAAATTAAGTCGTAGTTGTCATATTGAAATCTGTTGTTCAACATCAGTTTTGTTTTTGCAGATCTTCTTCCAATGGCTTACTCGGTGAAGACATTCAAAAATCGCTACTGGAGGACTGGTAAAGGCCATACACTAAGCTTTTCATGCATTCAGGAATACTTTAAAAGCACATATATTTGTGGGGTCTTATTTTTATGGTTTAAGGAAAAATATTGGTTTGTGGGGATTTGATTTTGTGGTTGAGAAAGTCCTGAGTTGTTATATATTTATAATTTTAAATTTCATGGGAACATGATTTCATGGATCTCTTCCAAAAACAATGAAAATTAAATCCCCAGCAAAATTAATAATTTCACAGTAAATCAATATAATTATAGAACAATGGATTTCATTTGTCAATTACAGGACAGAGAGCTTTACATCAGCATTCCATCAGCTTCGGTCCCAGCATTGTCCGTATTTCTATTTCTGTACACATCAGTTCACAGTTCTCTTCAGGGCTGCTGGGGTAGCTGGTCAGTCAAGTCAGAACGCATTCCTTACCCCCACCACACGGGGACTCAGGGAGGCACTCAAAAATGAAGGTTTGAGCTCATTAAAGTAGAAAATTCAAAAATATAAAATCCTGTTTATTTTAAAATAATTTGTCTACATTGTGCATGAATAAAGTGTTTTTATGTTCAATTTATCATAAGGGTATAAAATATCTCTGATTACTGCCAAACTACCAAAAAAATCAATGATGTACAAACATAGCAAATGTCCATGATAAGATATATGGCAAACAGTGTCTCTTTTGCTTTCTATAACAGAATTACATGAATTATAGATCAAAAGTGTACTTACTGATACTTGATTAAATACTCTAACAGGTATTGAGTTTAGTATGCCAGTGTTAGAGAGAAAAAGAGAGTCATCTAGTGCAGAAAAATCACAAAGCAAAGATTCCGAGTAAGTAGTCTATGTATGTCCAAAACTTGAAGTATATTTAGTAGGGATGGCAACGAATACTCGAACATTTGAATATTCATTCGATGAGTTGATATTCGAATATGAATTTAAGATTCGAATATTCCGTGTTTTTCAGATTTCATAAAAAGAAATACTATGGTTAATAAATTTTATTTAGAACAGTGCTGGGATTATCCCTGTTTAGTTTACTAGCGATCAATTTCGATCGCCTGATTTCTTTCACTACTTTCTTATCTTATAGATTTACTAAATTACATGTATTTTGTTTTGAGTAAGGTGTTAAAGAATTTTGGAGAGGACAATTCTAAGTTGGTAAAGCATGTGTCCAATCCTATTGATTATGTTTCAATAAAATATGTTTAAATACAAAATATAAAGAATTGTACAAAAATGCTTTATGTATAATACAAAATGTACTTTCATAGTTTTTATTAGTTAGATACGTTCGGATCTAGAATCGAGGACAAAAATGAAATCTAAGAATGTCTAAAAGGCGTAAAGAGTATACTTATCAAAATAAAATTAATTGATCATTGAATGAATGTCCGATAGAATTAATCTGTAATTAATATTGTAAAGGGCTTAATTTCAAAATAAATGTGTAAATTACTTGATTATCTCGGGTTGTACATAATCCTGAATTTTATATTCATTATCGGGAAATTAGTTAATTACCTAGGAAAATTGTCTATGGAAATATTTGTTTACATTGTATCAAAGATTATAATCATATCTCTTATTAGGCAGATAATTGTAATTTATTAGACGTGTTGAAATCTGAACAGTATACTGTAACGACTATCTTGCCTTTTGTAAGACGACTGGTTCCTCAGTTGAAGCTACTATAAATACACGTTTCATTTGTTACAATTATACTTTTCTACATCTAAATCAAATTTTTATTTCAAACATTGACAAATATCAAATGGAATTTCTTATTGTACACCTACAAATGTCTTCATACAATTTTACTTCCAATATAAGTATACCTACGCTAAACCTTTCATGAGAGTAGGATGATGCATATTTAAAATAAAACAGATTTATTTATTTTATCGAATAGTCAAATACTTTCATTGAATATTCGAATATGAATTATTGACATCCCTTATATTTAGGTCATGTGAAAGGTGAGAAATAATTGTAACGTGGGAAAAAAGGGGAGAAGTGTTTCTTTTAAATGTAGTTTAGAGTAAATATGGAAACTTAATGTGAAAATCTTGGGACATTTGTTTCATTATAAGTGACAGTCTTGATAAGAATGACTCGGCATGTAAATGATACATAACTATGTTTTAAAAAGATGGTACGTTTAACCCCCCCCCCCCAAAAAAAAAAAATCAACTATATATGAAGGTTCTTTTTTCATGATTTGTTTAGACAAACCTCCCAACCTTTGTAATCCATCCATTTTACTGATTGTCCTACATGCTGAAATTCAATGATCTATGATTCGGAATTTAAAACACTCATTCAGATTTTGTTGAATTCGTACCCAGTACTATATAAAATACATGTATTTATAGACACATTCTGATCAAATTGGCTTTTATGAAGTAAAATAAAAACCGTAAATCAATAAGAACCAAATTTGAAGTTTTAACCAAAACAAGTAGAATGTAACACTGCTAAATTCATTTCTACAGAAATGAGAAATTGTTCTATGGATTCAATTTCTTTTACTTCAGATTATGGACTCTTTGGTAATTTGCAATCAAATTTTACATGTAACACTTGTAAACAGGAAAATAAGTCTTCTTCAGAAAATCTAGGCCAGGTTACCAAAATTGTGAAATTGGAGCAAATGTTGTGTGTATTCTAGTTTGCTTGTCATGTCACCTAGGCTCGGACCACAATATAGAGTCAAACTAAAAAAAAATTCATGAAATTAAGATAAAGAGGGAAAAAATCTTCCAATGAAGAACAGCAAGGTAACGTCGGTGAGCATTGTGGCCCATGGGCCTCATTAACTTTTAATTTGATGGAAAGAACTTTAAATGGAATTGGTACAGTAATAAATGTGTGTGTTCAATTCTGTATTAGAAGTACCTTTTTAACATTTTTGAGTAATTCCAGAAACCAATCAACCCATCCAGCGGAGGATGAGGATGAAGAAGACGAGTTTCTGGACACTGACGAGGGAGCTTCCGTCTGGCTGGAGAGTATCGGACTGGACAAAAAACAATTCCCATCACTCGACCCTAACAAAGTTAAAATGTATCCTTCTAGTCAAACATTTCAATGTATGACAAGGTGGAATAATGTGTTTTTCTTTCATTGTGATTCATCAGATTAAACATTTGTTTCATTTTTCGTGTAAACTTGAAGAACTGGATTATCTTGAAGATACATTGAAAATTAATGATTGAATATATTATGAAGTACTTTATAAATACTTTTTTCAGCAGGATTCATGTTTTGGGTGCAATCCTTTGTACACTATTTTAAGATTACTCCAAAAATATGATGTTACATGTATATACAAGTGGTGATCAAAGAGTTTACAAACAGTCTCTGTATCTACATAACCATGGTTGAGAGAAGAATGAATTTTTGCAAACATGTAGGTAAACGTATGTGCTGAAAATGGCATGTGTTATACAATAGCTTACCTCCCGTTATGCCTGAGATGCAGAAATTTTGCAGTGGGCAAACAAATTTATTTGTATGGATGTCCTGTTGGACAGGTTAAAGTTTCCACTAATTAAAATTAAAATTGTTAAATCTGTCCAAAAACGACTAAGATTTCATACTGGTAGCCAGGGTTTGACATTAAATTTTATGAGTACTAGACCAGTCAGGCTACTTCCCATAGTTTTTACTAGCCCTGACCATAAAATCACTAGCCCCGACTAAACTTGAAAATTTTCTTTTTATAACCTGGTATTTCAATGAAAAAAGTTTGAAACCATACTATCTCTAGCACGTGTTTACACTTTCCATAGGTCGCAGCCCATTGAGTTGGGTTATGCGGAACATGCAAATATTATAGGCTTTAAAGAACATTCAAAGAAATTTTAAAAAATATTACCGTAAATACATGTATAAATAAATTAGAGAATATATTATTCGATAACTTGGCTAGTTTCGATCGCGAGTTGTCTATTACAGCCGGGCTAAAAACAGCGATTGTGTCATGCCATTAAGTTTTCTTTTTCAGAGCGATTGCTGTGTTTACAATCATAAAATTAAGAAAATTTCTTTAAAAAGTTTTTAGAACATTTATTTGGAAGACTGCAATGAGGGTTAACATTTATTTCATCCACACGACCAGTCGGCCTAGTTCACGAACATTTAACACGACTGGACCACTCTTACTAGACTGGGTCGGTCGGAAGTGCCTTAGTGTCAAACCCTAGTAGCAATTTGTAATATACCTAGGGAAAGAATTCATCAATTTTTTTTAATCAGGTTGAAGTTATGGTAACTGGGTCCTAGTCACGTAATTGCTACAAATGATTTTTTTGAAAATAAAAATCATGTTCTTGGGCTATCAGATCTTTGGCAGGGCTGACAACTTTTATTAGCAGTCAGCCCTGCATGTCTAGCTTATTTTGCTGTTAGTTTCAAAACTGGACACCATGCTAACACTTGGTATAGAAATCTAAGTACACCCATTCTCTAGTCCAAATTTGACAATTTGTGACTTTGGCTATTTGAAGTTTTGAAAGAGAGCCTCCTTGGAAAGAACAATGAGACCCAAGTAAATCTGGGCTGATGTATGTCACATGACAGCTTGGAGCATGTGTTTCTTGGATGAGCAGAACAGTGGCAGATGTGTGTCAAATCTGGAGGGACCTAATTTAAAAAATGATAAACACTGAAACGCAATATGAATTCTTATATGTATTAAAAGTTATTCAACTAGTTTGCAAACTTTTTGATCGCTTCTCATACATAGATGAAATAAATACTGTCAGATTTTACTAATTCATGATTGCACTAAATATATAGTAGCCTTTGACTTGTACTTGCATTAAATTTTGAGTATGCTGAAATACAAAAACATATAGTATGTGTAAAACTTAATACAAATTGAATTCTGCAGTGCTGACTATATTTCTTTAACATTACTAGACAGAGGGAGGGTTTCCGGGTGATTGACAATAGACCAGAGTCTTTAATATATGTACAAGGTGCAGATGTCCAGGCACTGTTTAATTTCCTGTTAAATTGCCGCAGTTGTGTGGCCTCCAGTGGGCCCCAAGTGGGGGTTGCACCAACAATTCTGTCCCCCTCACCATTCAGGGGAGCTTCAGTGCAGACCCAAAAGGTATTAACTTTTGGATTATTGACCATTGTATATGGTGTTTTTATGCTAACACAATGAAAAACATTTTGAAATGTACCAGTAATAATTTCTATAAAATTCAATTTGGAGATGATATAATAACATAATAGACTGTGGAATTTATCGATAGTGATAGAGTGTTGAATTATTGCAGTTTGATGTGATTTATCTTGGAGCATCACTTATTGTGGTCCGTGTCATTTGGAAAATAAAATGATAAAATCTTACTTTATCTTGTATGCAAACTATAGAAGTTGACTTGCCATTCAGTGTTCTAATAGTAAATTTTTGCATTCAAAAAAGAGTAAAAAAAAAAAAAAAACAAGCACCACTGTTTTCTTATGTCTTCTTACTTTCACTTTAATTTCTTGCTTTAAATTACAGGTGAAACATTCACTGGTAAAACAGACAGAGACAGATGGAAGTATAAACCATGTCCATATTTTAGAAATCTCAGGGGCTGTCCTACCTCACCATGTACATCACATCAGAAAGGTCCTGGAGCGGACCCAGAAAGGGGAGTTCACTCTCACTTTTAATACTCATGAACCAACAGTTCCATTTAATGCTAAGCTCTCTGTTACTGACTGTAATCCAGAAAGGGAGAGAATGAAAATGAGGGGAGATAAATTTGACTCCTTTTTTGATGTCTGTGAAATTGATGACAGATTAACTTGTATACGAGAACTGTATTGTAAAGATTATGAGTACAACTGGGCAACATGATTTTATGATGTAGGGAAATTTGATTTTTATTTTTATGTTTAAAATTAGATTTTTAAATTTGCATGTATATCAAAAATTTGCATCATGCAAGGCGATGTTTTGTCTATATTTATTGTCAAATCATTTTATTGATTTTATAAACAATTTTACCTGTTGTGGATAAAATGAAAATATGTTGAAAACATGACTAGCTCTTATAAGCTTTTTTTATTATTAACGTGAAAATTTATTTTTTATCACTTGACAAATGTAAAATCCAGGAGAGTGCTGGTGTAAGGGCAGGGATCTATTGATTATAATGGGAAAGTGCATTAATTCTTCAAAGAGTCTGCTCCTGGGTATTTAGCAGACAACTTATTTGCATGGTTAGGATGAGCAAGGGTGCTTCTTGCAAAATTGTGAAATTTATAGCCCAGGGCCCTACATGTAGGTCAGGGTTTCAGTGTTAGGGTGGGTATAGTGAATATGCATCATTTCTTTGAAAATCTTTATCTTCCCCGAGGTATTTAGCAGATGAAGTAAGTGCAAGGTTATTATAAGCAAAGGTGCCTTTTCGGAAATTGTGAAATTCATGGTCCCAGGGTCAGGGGTTCTGATGTTAGGGCAAGGCTTTATTAATTATATAGGAAAAGGCATTAATTATTTGAAAGTCTTCTTTGTTCCTGGGTATTAAGTTAAACAAATTAAGTGTACATTTATACTGGTAGTTATACTGAGTAAGGGTGCCTCTTCTGAAATTCATAGACCCTTTTCTTTAACTTTGCCTTTGCCTCTGTCTTTTTGTAACACAGTGTCATTGGCTCAGACACCATAGTTGAGTGGTTGAGATGTCACAGCTTAATGATTGTGAGATTGAAAACGTAGTAAACATAGATATCAACAACATATTTGGAGAAACTTTGGAAATTTTAGTCTCTGTCAGGATGCTTTATTTATTCTCTCCATTTACTCTGTGTTATACAATGAAGCCCTTTGAAGTGGTAAAATTTTTCGTTTGAATGGAAAGTTCCCACTCTCTGCGACTAGCAACATTAGTTACACTGGAATGGAGATTTTATAAAGTTAGGAGAGAGAGTTAGAGACTCCCCCCTTTTGTAAAACACGTATTGCAACGAATATGTATATAATTTTAAATCTATCATGTTTATTGGAGTAACCACATGAATGTGTCGGTCGAACACGTGTTTACTCGGTGTGTATGTAGACTGTCAATTTGATTGGCTGTAGTATTTATGAAATGTCTGTTCTACATGTATTCGAATGAAGCATTGGACCGCTTTTTTCCTTTCTAAAGAAATAGGCGGGTCATTATATGACAATCAAAGTTCTAATGAAAGCTCAAAACGCACCATTCAAACGGAAAAATTTACCACTTCAATGCACATCATTGTAGCAAGCCAGGGAGTATTTTTACAAAACTCTGTGTGAAAGAAAGGAATCTCAAGTTTTGTTGCACTTCTGATATTCTTTCATTTCATAGTGTTACAAAATATCAATTTGATTTTCTTTCACATATAGTGAAAAAGTGCAAAGCACTAGTGAAAATATTTTAGGAATGACTCTAATTCTTGGCCAAATTATTCGAGTATAACCTGGTTTGGGTCAGTTTACGCTTTATAATCCGCGAAGCGGATTATAAAACAGCGTAAACTGACCCAAACCAGGTTATACTTGAATAATTTGGCCAAGAATTAGAGTCATTCCTTATAATTTAATTTTCAAATCATTAAATAACTATGGGTGTAAAATTTCGTTGCTTTTTATTAGTTCAAATTTGCCGCTCAGTAATACAACCATAGTAACGGAAGTGATGGGAAGCGAGGGGAGGTAAAAACTGATACATAGGCCTAGCAGCCTTGTTGTTTGTTTACATGTGGTAAGATCGAATTATTGTTTGAAGTTAAAGGTACATTTATTAAATCTGGAATTTTCCATGAATCCCAAGGACTGGAAATGAGAGGATTGTATGGATACAGATGATTCAGCTGGTTGTCAGGGGGGGGGGGGGGTGTCCCCATACCAAACCAGGTTATACAGAAATAATTTGTGTTCGTTTTTGGATATTAACCAATCAGAGGCTAGAATACAAACGAAATTAAATTATAAAAAAAAATTCCTGCCTCGGGAGTGAAATAAATTCCATATCCAACTACAAAACATTGAATTTTCTGTTTATTACATTTTCTTTGATTTTCCCATTGCCTCTGTCTTTTCTCAACACAGTGTCGTAGGCTGTGACGTCGACGTCATAGTTGAGCAGCTGAGACATCATAGCTCAGCAGTTGCGAGATTGAAAACATTGTAACATGGATTCTAGCAACATATTTGGGAAGAAATTGGCAGTTTCAGTCTCTATCAAGATGATTTAGTTACTATATCTTATTACAGGCCAGGAATTATTTTTTACTTACTTTGATATCCTTCAACACTGTGAGAGAATAGCACTTTTTTCATTAAATAAATCACAGTATTTCACTCCTGAAAATGTTATGAATAAAATATGATTGACATCGCTCATCCATTGAAACTGTTTAAATAAAATTTTACTATTTTTTCTCCCGGGGGGGGGGGGGGGGGTCCTCGCCCGATCAAATGTGCTAAAGCTATAACAAATCTGAACTACTTGACTTCAATTTTGTAGGAAGGTTGCAAGCTGAAAAAAGGGTATCATGATTTATCAATAGGGCGTAGAGCTGTCGATATTAATGTGTTACGCATTAGCGCAGGAAGGGTTAGAAAAGGGGCTGGTCGACTTCATTCAACAACGTAACTTTTATCAAAATGGATGCTAAGTAGTTCATTAATGTCGTGCGTTTTGCGAAAAAAGTGGGAAAAGCTTAATTATCTCCACCTTTATTATGAATAATATAGTCTTTGATATTTTTAATGTGATTTGCTGTTCGAAACCAAGCAATAAAAATCCAGAGTATCAATTTTTCCTTCGAGACTAACATGCTTGCCACTACTTGACTAGATGGACTTAAATATTTCTCGGAAAGATACATGTACAAATATTGTGTCATAAAAGTGTATTTTTGAAATGTGGGATTTATACCACGTTTTTTGTTAACCGAAAAAATGCATGTTTAACGCATACATTGAGGATAAACTTTCAAAAGAAAAAAAAATGGAACGAAGATCCACTAACATGGAAAAATTGTGTTATAAATGTATTATGAGGAAATGATCAATTTTCGCCCTCTTACGTGTGTGTAAGCTATTTCATAGACGAATAATTTCAATCTTTGTGAGATTGTTGCAAATTTTAGAGATTTTACAAAAAGAATAATGTTAAAGTTAAATAAAATATCGAAGAAAATCTTGTTATAATTGATATTTATTATTTTTACTTTCTCGTTTGTTGAACCATAGGCATTTTGCTCGCATCGTTCGCCCATCTTCTTTGGTCAGTCGATGCGTTTTGGGTGAAGAGAGTGTGTCAACTGATAACTATGTCACAGGATATTACTTTTGGAGTTTCATACTTGTATCTCGATATTTAGGATACCGGTACTAAGAGGCCTAGAATAATCAAACTTTGTTGACTCCTTGATCAACAGAGTACAACCAAAAAAGTAGGTCATGATCACCTACTTTGAAATTTTCATGGGTATATCTAAATATTTCAGATACTATAGTAATAAGAGGCTTAGAATCATCAAAATTTTTCAGTTGATGCATTTTGGGTTCTCAAAGTGTGTCAATCAAAAAGTAGGTCACTGTGACCTACTTTTGGAATTTCAATACTTTTATCTAAATATTTAAGATACTAAGAGGCTTAGAATAGAAGGACAGGGTTGTACAATTTATCAGAAGAGTGATTCTATAGTACTTTGGAGCCTCTTGTAATTTTTATACGATCTTCTGTGTATATCAATTTGTTGTAGATTTTTTCTCTTGAGCTAAGATATTTCCCTTTGAGAATCAAACGGCTTCTCTGAAATTATTGATCTTCCTCTTCTGATTCAGGAGGACACAATGAAAGATCCTCCATCTTTTCTTCCTTAGTCACTCCCTGTTTTCTGAATACATGTAATCCATGTAGCAACATGAATTAGAGTTGGGGCTAGTGGGAAATAAAGTCTTGAGTACCGGTTATTTAAGCAACTTAATAGGGCACTCTAATAAAAATTAAAGATTTCAGAGGGCTCTATCAAACGTGCAGAATCTCTATGTGCTATTAAAGTCTTATTAAGTGAGAAACAAATATTAAAAAGAGAGGATCTTAAATATAACATTAATATGTTGTTTGGAATACAAGGAAGAAAGCACAATTTGATAGTAGAGAATAAACAGAAAATAGGGAAGCTATTGAAAGTTCCGTATAATATTGAAGTGTCATTTTTGTCTTCAATTTTTGTTATAATTTTTAAAATGTCTTGATCTTTCCTTCCTTGTTTATAATTCATACGGAACATGTTATCAAAGGTATGCATATTCTCTTATATATATATATATATATATATGTATATATTGGTCCATTTTTGAACTTGATTAATCAGAAACTTCTAAGGCAGGAGTATTTGTAATTTAACTAATTTTGCAAGAAAGTGTTACGCTAGATTTGGTATAGTGGACCAGTGTCAGCAGTATTCCTTTTCTTATGATATTCCATTCAGAGGCACCTTTATGACGAGAAAATTTTGTGTGCTGATGTTCTGCCAAGAAAAAAAGACTTTCGTGATTTTTAGCTCTACTGGTCAGACACCAGACGAGGTTGTGCGACAGTAAGGTGTCCCTTTTCTGTCCATCTGTTTGACTTTTTGTCAGTTAACATTTTTTCAAAATGCTAATCCTCCTACAGTTTTAGTCCTATTTCAATATAACTTGGTATACAAGAAGACTACACCAAGATACATAATCGTGTGAACAGGGCATACACTTGCCATAAAAGAGACTAAACCAAGGACCATTATTCTATTTGTTAATTGCTGTTGCTATAGTTTCAAGCCCAAATGCTACTGTTTCTATTTTGGACTCGAACCCCGGATTTCCAACCCAACGGGACAGATTCAACTATACCCATACAGACCTACAAAATTTAGCTGACATTGAGCGTGTGGAAGTTTGTCGTCTTTGTCAAACCTGCAGCTATAACTTTACTCATTCAACTGCCACTTATATTGCATATGCTAAGAAAAATATACATACATGTACATCTACATGTGTGTATCCTAGTGTACACTG